TGCACCAAAGATGCAGCTGGCAGAAAGCGTTGTGCAGTCCGATTTGAAGGTTTATGTACAGATAGTATGAACCTCTCTGTCGGGTTCCGGCAGAATGTCTGACACGGCTTTCTAAATTTTTGATTTGTAACCCACTAACACGTAAACCTTTCTGGTGGCTACAATCGTAGACATGTTTCTTGTGGTTTTCGAATTCGGTGTAAGGCTGTTTAAGGATACCTTACCGAACTCGGATGACATTTAGGAAGTGGTTTTGTTGTAGCTGAACTTGTAACTGATATTTCCTCTTACTGAAGAGATAATTTGAAGTGTTTCTGTCTTTAGAGTTTAAACCGTCTAATGCAAAGCATAAGTAAGTGCATCTGCATTACTAACTTATAATTTATATGGGATTTCAATTTTATGATAATATTTTAATTTTTTATGGTACAGAGTAGTTCCAACAATTCAAAGCGACATCTACTATTCTGCCAGGTTACGAAACGTTATTAAAGCCTTTTTAAGCCACGAGTAGGGCTGTATAACACCAGTTAGAACTTTAAATTCTCCGACTACAGCGTTACTGCTAAACAACACAACTAAAATTTCGATAATGTTTACAACAGTATTTTGTTTGTAGCAAAAAACGTAGTAGCCATGAAAACTGCGGCTTCCATCTATAATAATGAGAGTTCGGCCTAACCGTTAGTCATCGTGTAAGATTGTTAGTTGGAAAAGCGATTCAGCAAACAGCAAAACAAATCGCGGCTAGTCTTCCTGTTATTCGACATAATGGGCATTACGCTGAAACGGAGTATGGTTACCCGTTTAAAGTGGCTGATGGAATTTTGCTCATACTATCCACCTTTCGGGCCAACTTCTGCGCAGCGCGGCATTCGAAAATTACTGTCTGCATATTTTAAGTGCCCTACTATTGCACAAGTGTCACATTTGCAGTTACGCTAGCTCTGTTAATTCTGTAAATTGACGATTATCTGGGGACAAACTTGCCGCTGAAATTATGACACAGTCAGCTGTACAAAGCACTACATGCATAAAAACGGTACACCGTTAATTAAGTGACCGTACTCATGTACAATGTACATGCACATTCACGCAACCGAATTTTCACTTAATAGCGCAGTCACAAATGCTGATTTCTAAATCTCAGGGGTAAATGTTCTCAGATTATTTACAACAAAGCAGTCTGTGACCGATCAGCAATCCCACATCCAACCGCATGTGAGCTCGTTATTTGCAATTTGCATATTTATGTGTAAAGCGTCAAATTAAAAGTGTTACTAAGAGTACGCTAGAATAACCGCCTTTTCGATTGGCACTGCATTCTGTGCGTCGCGAAAGCAGAATTTTATGGTTTGCACAGAAGTAGTTGAAAACCGCAAACTAAACTATCAAAACGGATTCCGTAACTGATTCGTTACTTTTCACCAAAAGCAGGGCAAAAAAAAGCCACCTTGTCGGACGAAAAAAATTAAAAGAACGGCAGATTCCAACGATTTCTAAAATGCTGGCCAGTTCAAGGTTCCTCCTGCGTCACGCGCCGGAAGTCCAGAAATTTTTCCGTTAAAGCGTTTAATGTTCAGCTCTTTGTTAGATATGCATATTTGCTAAAATGCATGACCATTTGAAAGGAATTATTTATTCGCATTTCGGAATACACGTGTTCAATCGACCCTACGCGTTAATTTTAAAATTTTTATCCCTTCGGAAAATTCGGATATGGGAGCGACCGATCATCTCAATGTTAAACACTTTTTATAAAAGTGATCGTTTGCTGAGAAAGGTTTTAAACACTATTTATGTATTACAACATTTAGACCTTAAACGTTTTTGTGTATGATAAGTTCGGCAGCTGGACACAGCCGATTTTCCGATAGCTATGCTGCATTCCATAGACCCTGAGTTTGAATCTGCTGAAAAAGCGAAACGTGGTCGGCAACTCGCGGTACTGGTGCTGCCACAAGTGCTTTTTAGTTTGTTTTGTTGAAAGCTGACTGCAGTTTCCAGTGTTTCTGGTTGCTAGGTCTGCAAAATTTCCAGACGCTGTAATTTACTTGCCCCACCAGACAGAATAGCCCGTATTATTCTAGTGTTCTCAATTTGCGGAGATTTATAACCAACCAGCGCAATTTTTCCGACCATAATTACTTCAAGATTCTCCAAATCGTAAGCTGAGTCGGCAGAAGACGTGTTGCACTTGAATGACTCGGTAGGTGCCTTTGGTATATAAGAATTTGAAGCGCAGGTTTAAATTTCGTTAATCCACTGCTGCTTTTAAGTTCCAAATTCGGAATACCGTAATTATCGAATTTGAAGCCCCCCCCAAAAATACAAGCCCCCCCGTAATTAGAGCCCACCCCTAAGGTCGTTTGAAAGTTATAAGCCCCCCCCCCCGAAATAGAGGCCCATGGGCTTGATTAAATACCGTAAACCCCATATTAAAAAATGCCAAAAAGCTGGTTTGAAAAATTGAAGCCCCCCCCCCCTAAATACAAGCCCATGCCCGTAATTGGAGCCCACCCCGTGGGTCATTTGTAATATTTGTAACCCTGGGCTTCTAATTCGATAAATACGGTACGTTTTGAAAGTGTTCAACCGCTTAATTCAACAAGAACGCCATAATTTGTGTATCCTACATAATTCTCTGCGTTTTTCAGAACAGCGTGTTCGCTCAAGAGTCAGGTCATGACGGTTTCGACGTTCCCCCCAACCCGCACCCAGGTGTTACTAACGACGTAAGTCGATTCAGCCTTTTGTAGCAATTTTGGTGCTTTACCCATAGGTACGCTGAAAAAACTTATGCGATGAGATACAAGAGCAAATCACTTTAATTAAATTACTTTTATCGTCCAGTTTGACTTTTGGCGTAAGCGTTGAGTGCTTCTTTTTTAGCCACTTTCAGTGGAATGTGAGCAACCAGCTACTTTACCACTTCCTGCCAAATGTTTAAACCGCACGACCACGCAGTTTCAGGCGTAATTGCCACGCTACCGGTACGAACTGCATTATAATCAGAATGAAATCATTTTATTTCGATCGTATAGTTCCAATAATAGAACAGTTAATTAAACTGTGCGGCTTTTGTCGTATCTCGACTTGTACCATTGTTCGCCATTATTAATACTTGTTCAATGTAGGCACCCGCCGTGGAAAAGCCTTGAGATAAATTTTTCAGAAGATTCCACATACGTGCAAAGCTGGAAAGAATGTTTGCTTGGTTCGTCGTCCGTTATAAAGTTTTTGAACATGTATTTTTATGCTTTTGCTGTATTATGTGGGTTTTCCCCGTGAGGCAATGTACCCCATGGTTCTCCCGCTTGCTTTTCGTGTAGTAAATAAAATTTGTGAGAATTCGCAAGCAGATCGTTTAATAATTTAGTAAAACATTCTCATGCACGGACAATACTTGGTTAAAGAAAACTGCTACTGATTTTAGACAAATATAAGGTAGGTTAAATATATGGAAATTTTCTGACAGTATAATATATAAAGGTCCCATATTATATATACGCTGCTTTATCCACAAACGTGCTAATACCGTTTACACAACAATTTGACGGCAAACGTTTATAAACTTACACTTGCGGTATAAACTCGTACATTTACAAGCCGGAACGGATGATGAGCACGATAGAAAACAGCGGAAAATGTAAATTCATGGGTTACGCCAAACAACATACTACGCCACGCATACACTGTTCAAACACGTAACATGCGTTTCGCTGGCTGGTGGCTTGGCACACGCCATTTATTGTAATGAGTACAATCGTAACTGTAAGACGGAAGGTGGCTAGAAAACGGTCGGTACAGTAAAGGACAATCTAACTGCGGTGCGGATTTACACGTTGTGGTAGACGTACAGATAGTGTAGTGGCCATCGTGCTAAGCGCTAATATCGCGCTCAATATGCATTATCTGTACCTTTACGTGCTCTTTATCCGGACCGGCTTGTACATACGTACTAGAAACAGCTTCGACTTCGGAGTTTCTTGTTGTTGACGGTCGCTGTTCAAAAGGCAAATATTCGAAGCAAGCAATCCGGCTAATTTTTCAAAAAAAAACAGTAAATTTTTTAATCGAAAGTCAGTCAATCAAAATCAACTTTTAAAGATATTAAGGGTATTCCAGGTATCCAGGGTTACGTCAATTTGAAATACTGTATAAGACTGTAACAGATACTTGCTCTCAGTATTTCACACTACTGGTAATTTTATCCCTAAGAGCTCTATGTACGCTCTAACTTCACAACTTCAAACGCTGCAAGGCCGCAAAAAGTGATTTGCTCGCTTAAAAAAAGTTCTTTTCACTCAAGATCAAAGCTGAGATCACACTGCTATTAGTAAATTAATTCTTTTGTGGAGAAGATAATTTACCGGACGATCGCATAATCGCCAATTTTTTAAGCGCTGTGTTCTTTAAGATTTGACTTTGAATGAGCGTTTCTGCTCAGGAACTAGGAATGTTTCTGCATTGTTTCCGCGTGCAGCCGCGCAATGTACTTGGAAACGTCAGAACAATCCCAGCCACACCGGATGGGGTCACTGTTCCTATATTTCGTAAGCTTGTCAGTGGATGACCCATATAAGTCGCTGAATGTTTCTGTTCAGTGGATGCTCGACAGTACTGACCACTTATTGTTACAACGAAACATTACTCATTTAGTTTGCAACCAGTCCTAAATTTGGTTACTGAACAACAGCAATTGTAACTTCAGGTGCGTAGATTCTGGACTTGGATCTTTAAAATTCGGGCTACTCAATTTAAACTAGTTGTACCACGCTCGGCTATCTTTAAAGTTTGAAGGAAGCGAAAGCATATAACCACTAATTTTCCGGATATGCCGCTAGCCATATTTTCAAACGGCGTATTTGACTACAGATTAATATCTTTACTCGGCTGAGTTATAATTGCTTCAGGCAGCAAATTAAGTGCTTAAAAAGCTCCATTACCTCCTGCCTCTTAGGCCCTCTTAGAGTGTTAGTGTTATATTTTCCCAAAAATCCGTCTCTAAAGACAGTGCTGCTTTCGAGAGCGCGACAGATATTTATAAAAGTTTTTTAATCTTTCAAAGCTTGTTTTGTTTTCTGTTGTGTGCGGGTTAATTTTAGGCACTGTAACTGAAATCTGTTTTTGTAAGCTTTTTAACAAATAACGGAAGAAAGCGCGCGATGTTGCGTCTAGATGTGATTGGATTTCTGCTCACTGCTGCTGCTGTACAAGCTAAAGGGAGGCGTCAGTTATCAACCACCGTTTGCACGTCAGATCTTTGCCAACAAATTGGTATGTGGAGCAGCTATCAGTTGCAAAGCAGTACTTCAGAAGTAAAGTAGCTGTAGGAAAAAAATGCTCGGGAACAATTTCCTGTCATTGGTATGCTTTGCAAGGAACTTGTAATTATAATTACATCTTGTCCAATGCCGCTGTCAGTCGCTACGATGACGTTAGGTAGTTTAGTAGTTTCTGATTTTCACAGCACGTTAAATCTTCTCCAGCATGGATAAAACTGTTGATCCCTGTGTGGATTTCTACGCTTACGCTTGTAACCGTTGGAACAAAAGCAGCGGTATGGTATACGAAGTGCTCCTTCCGAAAATTTCCAAACAACTCCAAGGTGCGTGCGAGAATGTGTTTGTTGAGCGGTGTTCGATAAAACTACGGTGAATACTTCGTGTCTTATGTTTGTTGCCTTTTTTAACTGTTGTATTATTAATTTCCCTTTACAGCCAATCATTTTAATTTTTTCAGTTCGCACATCTATGCTGCACCGAGATACGACAATGTTCCAAATATTCTAGTACACTGAGACGTTTATGATATTTGTAAAAATAATGCCGGTAACTGCGAGACTAAAACCCCTGGTGTACATAAATTGACATTAGAGTACTTAAGATTCGACTGTGTATATAAAGACAGATTTCAAAACACTGGCGGATTTCCGCTAACTTCAAATTTTATTTCATTGCCAAAACGCTAGAAAATGTTCTACTGATGTACCAAACTCCGTAGTGAAAAGCCGATCAAATTTTTTTCATCGACCTTTATTTGAAAATCTGTTTTTAAATTCTTCAGATATGATTTAAGCAAATTAAAATAATGGTGTTTGGAAATATGTTATATCATTATCCCAAAATCGCTAATTCGTAAGGTGATCAGCATTGTTCATAAGCGGCTAGTTTGCATAATTTTAGAATTATTCATAACTTACGAATTTGCATAAAGCTAAGCTTTACACCAATTAATTGGGTTGTGAATATTGCTAAGCATTATATTATGTTACTATATTAAAGGTACGAACTAACATTGCTTTGCAAAAGCCGCGTCACATGCTTTGAAATCACTTGCAAGCAGGGCTGCACTTTGCTGGGATTGCACTCGGTGTCTTGTTGGAATATGCTTTATTTAGAGCTGCTCGACAGTGGATATTACACCAATCCGACGGAGAAAAAAGCAGTCGATATATACAACCAGTGCATCCGGACGCATGGTAAACTAATTTCCTGTAAAGCGACCCTGCACTTAAAAGCCTTTCAAACCGGAGCTGTGTACACTACTTCTACAGTTAAGGGAAAACAGTTTTATCGCAAAACCGACTGCACGCTGTGGTGCAAACATAGTTCCAACCAGCGTATGTTGATTGTGAAGATGCTCATACAATTAAGATTTGTCTGAGCTTGAAAGAAATAACTTTTCAGCTGCACGGTTACTTTACAGTAACCTCGTGGTAATTTGCCTAGGATATTCACCGTATTTTCCGCAACTGTTTAGAAACGCATCCGTATGGCAAAATTCGTACAAAAACTTCTGCGCACATCATTTGAGCGGAAACGCATCCAGTGCGAGAAACTCAGAATGTTGACCATTACATAATTTCGTTAACAGAACAGCCATTCAACGACGGCAATCTTGTGCGAACTGTAGACGACCTGTTAGGCGGATGGTCGCTATTGAGAGACAACGACAACGTGTCCGCTTTTCGTCTGGACGACACTCTTGTCCGCCTGCAGCAGAACGGCATTCGGACCTTCAGCGATCTTACCACATTCAGAAACGAATTTTCCAGGAACGAGAACATCCTGTATTTTTCGATGCCAGGTCGCCTCTTTGGGAGGTGGGAACTAGACCCACCCGTTCACAATGCAACTGCACAGCTAATGAAAAAATGGACGCCGGCAGTGCTGCGTTTACTTATAACGGCCAATGCAAGTGTTTTATGGTCAACTGTCGAAAAGCGATTGGAGAAAGCTATTATGTTGGATGTCATGTTGGCGAAGGTGAGAGTTATGTTCCAAAAATATATTGACTCATTTGTAACAGGCAAGCGCGAGGAGATCACGAGTGTGCTTTATTGACAAATAAAGGGAACAATGCTGCGTAATAGCAGGGAATGCCAGAACAAAGCACTGATGGCTAAGCAAGCAAGTGAATGCTAGAAAAGCTCTTGAGCGTTCGTCAAGGCGTGAAAGAAGCAACTGGCGGCAAGCACGTGCTGTGTGCCATCAGCTGTGTGATGATGCGCAGACTGGACTCAATCCAACGCGAGCGTATGAACGCTGAGTCATACTGCGAGAGAGGGACGAGAGAGCAAGTATGCTCAGTGTGTGCGCCGCGTATATCCGCTTCAGCGGATATGAGTGTAGTGCAGCAGCACACGTACGTACAGCGAGAGAGGCGATATGGCAAGCATGAGTGCAAGTACGTCCATGGTGGGCCGTATGCACCAGGCGCAGTCATGTGCCTCTGACATGCCTCTGGGCGGGAATCCGAGCTCCTGCGAAGGATGCTCCGACTCGGTACCGCACCAGTACCGCACAACTCTCCAGTCGGACCCAATGTGGGGTCGCTGGTACGCGTCCTCTAGCAGTGGGAGTCCGGTGTCTGGTTGACCGTCCCTTCTTCACTTCCAGACCCATGAGTGGAAGCCACTCACGGCCGAAAAATCCGGAAGCCGCTCGGGCGTTTCGTTGGACCGGTGGTGCTTCTGTTGGCTGGCTTCTTGCTTCTGTTGGCAACGGAGAACAATGTGAAAGAAAAGTGTAATGAAAGTTGTATACAGCGCGAAAGAAAGTATGAAATAAAGTTTAATCACAATTCCAGTGAGCAAAGGGGTTACAAAACAGATCTGTCAAAGAGATCGAACTAGAAAAATACAATTCCGTTTGTTAGGAAAAATGCTAAAAAAATGCAAAAATCTGTCCGGGGGTCCTATTCCGACTAGGATGACGTCCACGGGGTCTCCTGTCCACTTTCATCCGGTAAGTTGGGTCCGGGGCATCGGTTCCCGGGTTACCCGTCGTAACCGGTTACATTCACCGAGGTCGGGTAAGCACGGTTAAACACTTACTTCCGACTCGTATCCGTCCGTTCGGGATAGAGAGGCACTGTTGCGGTTGCAAATGCCGAGGCATCCTCTCTGAATGGGGAATAGAACCGAGGTCGGTTTGACCAAGGTCGGCCTACCGGTAAGTCGACCGGCGGCTAGGGGAATTCGGCTATGTTCCGAATTGCTAAAGTCCAGGTCGGAGAAAGCTGTAAGTGAGTCATGCGGCCTGTGTGGTCGTCATGTACAGCAGTTCCGTTCAAAAGTGGTCGGTTACAACCGTTCAATCTGCTACCACGAGCCTGGTTTGTAGTAATCCGAGTCGAACTGGCTCGAAGGTCCGGTCGGAATTCATGAGTTTCATCGATGGAAGTGTCCAGTCGACTTCCATCCAATGTGTTCCGTTGTTATCCGACCTTCTGTCGAGGTCGGTTATCCTATCCGTCAGTGGTCGACTAGGGTTAACCTGCAATAACATGCCCATGTGGGGCTAAACAAGTTCCTTCAAGTCGAATTCGTCCACCGCAGACAGCTGTTGATCTTTTTCCGTCTTGTTGAAAGGGAGTTCCGACTTCCGACTTATGGTCGGTTATAGATGACTTCGGAAGGTCGGATGAACTATGTTTCCATCCGTCCGAAGGTCGGATCTTTGCGTTAGGAGGTCGGTTCTCGACTTCTGAATGCCTTTGCCGACTTGTTGTCGTACCCTGCCGACTTCTATACGGTCACTTCCGACCTCGGCTTGAGGTCGGATATCCATGTCCAAGTTCGGAGGTCGGCTATTTTCCGACTTCCCCAGGTCGGAAAAACTTTGTGTTTTATCCGACGAAAGGCTAAATTCTTCCACTAGGAGGTCGATTTCATACTTCTGGTTGATTTTCCGACTTGTTGTCGCTTACTTCCGACCTCCATCTGATGGTTGTCGACTTCATTTTAGGAGTTCTGTGCGTTCGGCTACAGTTGGCCGGGTCCTTGGTGTCAGGACATCCTTCGGTCAGTTCGGACTGGCAGAGGGATGTTCGGCAACACAACTCCGTTCCTTCTGTGATTTCTGACGTGAACTCCAGGTCGGATCCGAGCTACTGTTGAGGTCGGTTAATCCGAATCACTTGCTTCTGGGCCGCCAAGTCCTGCGAGGTAAGGTTTTCCTCCGGCATCTGTTGGCCGATTGACTGGCGTTTCATCATGCACTGCGCTCGCTCACAACGCTAAGGGTCTTTGTGGCCCCGGTTGCCGAGCCGAGCTCTTTGGTTTAAACTTCATGCACATGCAAGTCCCTGAGGTCGTCAGATCCGATTCTTCCATTCTGTTTTGTCGCGAACCTGTGACGCCTAGCCGCTTCTGTTGGGGGTAGACGACTCACGTCCGCGGGGAAATTTTCTTTGCCGCTGACGAAGACCGACTGGCCGGTACTGTTGCGGGCAGGTGGTCATCGTCATCGGGGTTCGTTAAGAGGGTGCAGATCAAGTATTCTAACTTGGTCTGCCTAGGATGTTCCATCGGAGACATGGGGAAGCAGGTCGCGGCGGAGTCGTTGGTACACCAGTATCCAAATCACCGTCGCTGTTCCTCTTCAGGGAATGGCAGCACGTTCAAAGACGCGCGTAGTCGTGGTCACCGGTGAATCGGCTGGTTTACCCGATGTCGTCCGGAGGAGACTGCGGTTGATCTCCAGGTACAGAGCCTGTAGGTCTGGATTCAAACGGAGAATCCGGTTGAATTGCCACGTAACTACTGCCGGCTTCCATCCGTTGTCTATAGTTGACTTCTGTCGGTCGGCTACCATGTACTCAGTCGATCTTTGTGGTCGTCTTAAAGGTAGCGAATCATGGTTTTAACGATCTGCATCAATGCGGGTCGAACAGTTTGGGTTTCCAAAACCGATCTTTGTGATCGGCTTGCACAACCGACCTTTGTGGTCGACTTGCGCAGCAGTATCCATTATGTCTCCAAGTTATGGGCAAAGTACGAAGTCGACCTTTGTGGTCGGCTCTTGTACCTAGTCAAATCCGAGTCTTCCTGCGCCGTTGGCGGCTCGGCCGAGGGATTTCCGCTATTTACAATGGTGAAGACTGCTCGGCTACCCGGTTCCGAAGTTGGCCACGGGTGCTTGGCAAACGTGGTGTTGAGCACGCAGCGATGTGTTCCACACCATGTTAGCGTAATCCTCTCGGTTTCTTCTCCGGAGTCGGTTGGCCGGAGTAATCTTCATGTAACGCGGATTGGGGCTTCTGTTGGCTCCGATGGTCGCAGAACGTGGTTGACGATCTGCTTTGTTAGCAGATGTGGTTACGATCTGTTTTTTGCCAAGCTGGGGAACTGGGGTCGGTTGCCCAGTTCGTTCCAGGGGATTCCTTGGGGGACGTACCGGTACGGTGAAAGAGCCGAAATACCCGGGTCTAACCACGCGTTTCCGGGTTCGACCAAAGAATCCGGCCGACTTGTGTAGTCGGCTTTTCTGGCAAAATCGTCGTTGACGTCCGCCGCGTACATGGTTGGTCATTTTCCCAAAAAAAGAACTAAAGAGAAGTGTCCATTCCGAAGTCGGTTCTCGACGGCGCTGTTTCTCAGCTAGACTGTTTCTCAGTCGGAAGGTCGGTTCTCGACCGTGCCGTTTCTCGGCAATGCCTCCTTGAAATTATTCCAATGGGGGATCGAGTTCCAGTGTGGGAACTCGATCTTAACTGAGTGGAACTTCGACGGGTTTGTCGCCGCCGAAGTAATCTTCTTCTTCATCGTCGTCCGGGCCAGGTCGGTTATGTGGCCGTATATTGGGGTCCCTTGGTTTGCAAGTCGCCGGGCCACTCCGTTGAGACATCTCGTCGGTCTCATCTGTTTCTTGGCCTGGGCGCTCCGCTCTGCTCTTCCTCGATTCCTTGGCCGCTTGTTTGCGGAGCCGCAGCGCGAACGGTCGTGCGCCGGGTGCTATGTCATCCGACATCCAAGGTTCGTAGGGCGACGAGTTGAATCCGCTAGGCAAAGTTTTCTTTTCGCGGTACCAGCTGATGAATCGGGTTGCATCGTCGCTGGGATCTACGTGATCCTCACGAAAGGCATACTTTGTCGCATACCGTTCGTGGGTGTACAGCAAGTCACGCATCCAGACAGCTAGGATAACACTTCTCATCGGTGTGCCGAGTTGGGCTACGAGGGTTTCCACAGCTGCTGGTATCGCTTCATTGTGGTACAGTCCGTACAGGGTGTAATGGCAAAAGTAATTGCCGAGTCGAGCTGCGAAGATGAATCGCAGGAATGCCGTGGCTCCGTCCTGGGCCATGTCGACTTCTCCTTCCGGAAGGTACTGGGTTAAATCCAGTGCTGCCCGAGCCGCGGTGATTACAAAGGCTGGGTGTGCGTCCGTAATGACGAACTGGGCAACACTCTCCAACTCGTCATGGGAGTATTCCCGAGCTCCTAGTTGGCTCGCACGTGTTCCGTCCGGGCTGTACAATGGTACATTCAGCAAGACCGGGTCGGTCATCGACGGCAACGCATTCGATCTGGTGTACGGGTGTTCAACATTCGGCGCTGTGTGCGCGTTCATGTTGAAGTCAGACCGCCACTGATGTTGTTCGAACAGCGCCTGATATCCGGATCGGACGAGGAATTGACGAAGGTTTTCTACCATCCGCCAGATTTGTGGTCGGTACCGTTCCTCGTAATTCATGACGTTCATAATGTGGTTCGTCCTTTCGGTAGGGTGTGGCATGACGACCTCGATTCCTTGTTGTCGAGCTCGGTCATAGCGAGGGTCTTCTCGGATCGGCACTTCCACTTGTGGCAGTTGTGCCATCTGGTCGGCTACGTCGACGTCCATCTGCTCCTGTTGAGCTGCCAGTTCAGCTTGGACTTCGGCCGGTGGTTCTGCTTGTTGAGCTTCCGGCCGTTGTTCAGGTGGGATGACGTTACGTTTCGACTTATTTGTTAAGTCGACCGTAAGTCCGATCCCTGTTTCTCCAGATCCAGTACGTTTCCCTGGTGGAGCTCTGGTTGGCTCCTTTCCTGCTTCATGGATAACGGCTCGTTGCGCTTCGATTCTGTCTCGAAGGTCAACTGGGCCGATCCGGTGTCTAAGATCATGTCCCGCAAGGTTTTTGCTCGGTCGGCGCTGCTGTTGAGCGCGATTTCCAGGGATTCCGGATTGAGGAATCTGCTGAGAAACAGTTGGACGGGCCTGTGTGACCACTGGCATTGCCCTGTGTGGGATTGCCATCAACTGTTCCTGAGTTGCCGGTGTGAAGGTGACTGGCTGTTGAGTTCCGTCCGGCATATTCATCATCATCGTTATAGATGCGCCGGTCATCGGTCGGTTCGAATCTCCGACGAAGACATCACGTATTGTAGGAGTTAATTCTCCGACTGTCGGGAGACCCTGTGTGGGTGTCTGTACCCGAATCTTTATTTCCGGTTCGAAATCGGTCGGTGGTGGATGGACTCGCATTGTGGCGATCTTCCTATCGACCTCCTTTATCTTCTTCTGGTCGTCAAGTTGACGTTGCAGGTCCAACATCTGACGGTACTCGAACAGCCTATTTGTTAGGACTGGTGGTCGAGTTTCTTCCCATCTCGGGTCGCGAGCTCGTTGTCGCTGAATTGTAGCCAGATTGTCCTGTTCATATGACTCCAGTTGATTAATCAGGTATTCTCTGCCGGCCAAGTACCGGTATGCGCTCAAATTGCCAGCGACAACATTTAGGTAAAGTGCCGCCGCCTGAGCACGGTGTTGCGCTCCGGTGCCGGAAATTCGTTCGTTCGTGAAGGATACGATGCACAGCGCGCAGGGCATTCTGTTGTTGTCCCTCGTCGCATTATCCATGCACTGTTGGCAGTCCACCGTAAAGGCTTCCGTTCGGGGCTCTTCCGTACGAGTCTGTCAAAACAAAAGTCAGCAAACCGTTTCTCGGTTGCATCCTATAATTTACACCCTATAATTACTACGGTCGGGCCAGGTCGGTTCTCGAACTGGTCCAGGACGCCTTTGTGGTCGTCCAATGAGGTAAATCGACTTCTGTTGGTCGGTGACGCCTGTGTGGTGTCACTGGGAGGAGGTCGGTTATGCCTCTCTCCCAACGCGTTCTGCGTTTCCTCATTCCCGTGTAGGTGCTTCTGGCGACCCAAGCCGACTTGCTTGGTGCGAGTCGGCCAACTCGGTCGATTGTGCCGAGGTCGGTCGTTCCTTCGGTAAATGTCCATGTCGGTGATTTGATGGATTTAAGGCGATAAACCGTTGACCGCCTTGGGTTTTATCGGTGTTTAGTGGCGAATCGTTGTTGGTAGAGTGCCTTCGATATGACGAATTCTAGTTCGTCGTCCAGGGAGTACTTTTTCCGTCCGGCAATCGTGTCCGGTTTGGCCTTGTATTTGGGATCGACCAGCTGTGGTTCCGTTGATGTCCACTGGAACTCAAACCGCGCTATAAGTTGGTGGAGTATTTCTCCGCGGGTAAGTCCGTCAGGGTGCCAGGACATTTCCATGCACGCTTCAATAGCGTGTATCCATCCTTCATATGTTGAAGGAGCCGGGTCTTTCTTAGCCGGTGGGAACTCGTAATACATCCGCTTTCCGCTGGTGTATGTACGTATCAGCTTCCCGGCATGGTATCCGAGGTCGCAGTAATGTCGTACGTTGTTCTGACTAAGTTGTCGCCAATCGCCCGTTTCATCTACCTTCCAGTGTTGGAGGAGTTTGAAGGCGATTCTTGGTGTGGCGAACTTTGGTCCACGTGTGGCCAAGGCCTTCAGAGCGGCGAATGTGTACATCCATCCGGCGTCATATTCCGAGACACTCGGCTTGGGTTTCGAAGCCGATTTAATGCCGGTATACTTCAACCTAACGTTGACCAGTGGGGGAATATCGTCTGGTAGGACTTCTATCATATCCTCATGAAAGTCCGAACGAAGTGGCTGGTGGTCGGAGTCGGGCGTCAGTGGTACTCGTTTACCGTACTGACGAGGAACGTATACTCCGCCATCGTCTTCGTTACTCTTGGAGTCGTCGGCCTTGTCGCCGCTATCCTTCTCTTCAGGTTGTTTATCCGGTATTTCCGGCTCGGCCTGCTGTTGAGGTCCCGAGTTCGACGGTGGTGGAGGCTTACCATCTCCGTCGTCATCATCGTCATCGTCATCCTTTGGCGATCCATTTCCAGGTGTTCGGAAATCTTCGTCGTCGTCATCGTCTTCGTCTTCGGTTTCTTCCTCGGATGACGAGATCAGCTCGGATGACTTCGGTTCCTTTTTCTTAGCCGGCTTAGTCGGCTTCGTTTTAGTCGACTTCGACTTTCCCTTCTGTTGGGTATCTTCTGGTTCCGGCGAAATTTCCATAGGCGAGGACGGTGGAAGTGACTGTACGTCCTTCGGTATGAACCGTCCCTTCGCACTCCTAGTTGGTTTGGCTGTGCTTGCTCGTCCCGCCGGAGCCGATGCCGTGCCGACATATGTTGTCGGTTCGTGCGGTGCTCGAGGTCGGGTTAAGGCTTGTACTCGTTTTTGTGACGACTGTGCAGCCGTACGAGCTATATGCAGCAAAGTGGCTGCATCAGCCGACGGTTGTTCGTTGGATTCACTGTATTCTTCGGTCGGTTCCGTGCCCGCCGGAGGCTTGTCTGTGTTGACGTAAGACATCCGGAGGTTAAATTCACGCCGATGTTGTTCCGGTATGAAGTTTGGCACGGTATACCGAACTGGCACGTCGCGTTCTGCGTTAGTCGTCTGAAGAGTATGTTGCTCAACCAGGAGCGCGATTCGTTCGCCTATCCTATACGTGATAATTTCATCGATGTTCCCCTTCTTGTCCATGTACATCACGTTGTATACACGGGCAATTTGGACCAGAGTCGATCCGCGGGGGTTCCGGATGTATCCGATACACCGCGCAATTCTAGTCGGTGTGTCGTCTGCATTTCTTGCTGCTGCACTTTTAAGTGATTTGATGAGGTCCGGTTGGATAATTTCGGCCATCCGTCCCCATTGTCGGTGGACGGCGACTGCTAATCCGTAATCGAGGGTCCAGGCGACGATTTGCATCATGAGTTGATGCGTTAACCACGTTCCGGTTTCGCCTTCGACTTGTATGTTATTCGACAAGTCTTGTACCATGGATTGGTAGATGTCCCTGCCGTTTTCCTTGGCACTCCGAATACTACGGACGACTTCGACATGTACGCGGACTGTGCGGATTAATGTGTCGACCGGGTCCTCCGGCTGTTCGTCCGGAAGACGCTCGCGTACATCGTCTGGAGCTGGCCACTGGGATTCGTCGGTGTCCGCTCCATGGTTAAACATTTCTTTCATGTCGCCTTTAAATCCTTCATAGGGATCCCCATCTCCGTGGTCGGAGATTGAATCCTTATCTTCAATGTCCGAGGCCTGGTCGGATTCTACATCGGACTGTTGCTTGGATGTTGAAGGCTGAGATTGTTCAGGCGGAGTCGGTGGTTTTGGTGGGTTTCGTAGCCGACCTCCTGAAGTCTTAGCCGGCTTTGTGCCGGTTCGTTCCATGACTTCCTTAAATTTCCGTTCGACCGCCTCCTTGTCGTGCGGTTCTTGAGCCTTCTCCTTCTGCTCGGTCCTTTGTGGGCCGGCATCCGAAATATCCAAGTCGTCGGATGACTTATGCCGTTTGGCCGGATTGGGCTTCGGCGTCTTAACCGTGGAGTCCGACTTCGGTTTGGCCGGCTCCTTGGTTTCCGACTTGACTGGTTTCTTTTGGGTTTCCGTCGGCTGCGGCTTGGCAGACTGTTTTGCTGCTTCCTTCTTAGCCTTCCGTTTATCCTTGTGGGATTTCGCGGAATTAGCCGAGTTGATGACCCTTGCGTCGAGATCATCGTCAATTTGGACAGAAGGTTGTCTAATCGGAGGGGGAACTTTCATTTTGACGACGGGTGGTTGTACCGTCTTCTTGGTTGACTTGGGTTCCGGGGCGGTGAGTTTACGCTGAGTCGACGTAGCCTCTTGTAGGGCTTTAGGTCGACTCCTTTCCGCTCGGTAGTGTTCTCCCATTCGTTTCATCACGTCGGCCATCTTCTCGGTAAGTCGGTCGTGGTCACGCCGAGCTTCCGTGGTGTTTCCGACTATACTGGCACGTCGGATTCTCAGCGAATGCCAGAGTTCCCTATCCTCTGGGTACGCCATGTCGATGCAGACGTCCTGTTCCAACCTCGTCAAGTCCTTTACGTGTTGTAAGGCTAGGTCGTCATGAAATTCCCGCGACGAGTCTTGAGGTGGTTTCTCCTTGGCCGTACTCCGTTTGGTCGGTATGTTACCCGACTCGGTCGTCGACTCGTTCGTTCGAGACTCGTCTATTGTTAGACGTGGACCAGAGTGAACGGAGGTCGGTTCGTCCCTTTGTGGTGACGTTTCGACCGTAATTCCGACTCGCGCTTCCGAAGGGGATGTTGTATCCATCGCTTCTTCGGTTTTCTTTGGTTTCGTTGGGGTGTTCCGAGGTGAGAACCTAGGTGGTTTCTCAGTCGTCGGTTGACTTGGCAGCTTAGTCGGCTGGGATGCTGATCGAGTCGGCGAAATCTGCTTTACCGGCGATCTACCTCGTTTCGGTATAGATCCCTTCGTAGGTGCCGCTGCCTTTTGGTGCATGGAGTCGTCGGAGTCGATGTTGTCCGCGTTCTCCTCATCTTCGCTGCTATCCGACATTGTTATCGGAATCTTCTCGGTAACTTCTTCTCCAGGCCGAGGTTGGATTTCCAGTGTATAGGC